CAACAACAACAACAACAACAACAACAACAACAACAACAATAATTATTTACTAGCATCTGCCCTTAATTTTTTTACTTTTTGTTCTAATCGGATTTTCCACTTTGGCTTTGATGCTTTTTCTGTTGTGTGACTAGGTACTTTGATTTTAATGCCTAGTTCATTAGTGACTATTACAGCTGCGCTGTACATTAACTGGTTCGTTTCCAAGATGGATCCCAATTCAATTGGTTAATGCAGTGTTTTCAACAATTGAATCGGGATCCATCTTGGAAACGAACCAGTTAATGTACAGCACAGCTGTAATAGTCACTAATGAACTAGGCATTAAAATCAAAGTACCTAGTCACACAACAGAAAAAGCATCAAAGCCAAAGTGGAAAATCCGATTAGAACAAAAAGTAAAAAAATTAAGGGCAGATGCTAGTAAATAATTATTGTTGTTGTTGTTGTTGTTGTTGTTGTTGTTGTTGCTGAATTCTTGCTTTTGGAACAGATGCAAATATTTCAAAGTTCTTTCTGTCGTTTACTCTTCTCCTTGAATAGTTTCTTTAATTTTGAGACAGATCATAGTTTAAGCCAAACAGATAAACTATGATTTGTGCTATCTCTACAAAGGAAAGTTGCTGGTTTTAACTTTAAGCTTTGCAAGTAGTTCCTATAAAGAGAGTATTTATTGCTCCGGGTTGAACTGTGCAGTCCTTTGTGTGGGAAGAGCTTGGTTGTTTGCTTATTACCTGATTAGGCAACATCATCAATGCTAGTCATTGTGGGGTTTGCTACCTGTTTATATACAGTAGCTTGTCCTGCTGTTGTTGATAGGATTGGTTTTCTCTTCAATAGTCCCTTGATTAAGGTACTATTTGTTGTTGATTGTTATCTGGTATTGATCCCTGCTTATCTGAATGTTGGTTGCCAAAGAAGATGTGTTTTGGTATTTTAGTTTTCCTCCCTAGCTTTCTAATTTTCTTTTTTGAATGTTGTGTAAATGTAGTTTATCACTGTCTGTCTATTGATGACTGATTTGTCTGAATGCCAAGCTTCCAGGAATTCCCTGGCAATCCTGAATTTAGCTTGGTCTAGTCTAGGATGCTTACCGTTTCCCAGTTGAAACAATGGTTACGTCTGTCTATGGGTTGTGAGATTAAGGAATTTTTATAGTGTCTTCTGACTGCTAGTTGGCTTTATGGACATGTCCTGCTAATCTTCTGCCTGTCTGACCTACATAATGGTTGTTATAGTCTTTATGTTGTATATTGGAGGTGACTTCTGATTTTTACTTTTTCTCCCCTCCACCCTGTCTAGAGGACAAAGAAACCACCATAGTAAGTAGGCAGTTAATGAGATTTCATTGGTTGTTCCTTGAAGGATCAGAATTATTAAGTGTATCACTGGAACTGAAATAAAAGTATCTGTTTCTTCAGCTTCTTAAGAAAACTGTCATTGTTAGAAACATAATTATATCCTGGTTTTTGTTGAGACAAGCTTGCTGTGGAGATAGTTACCTAGAGCATTATGCACCATTATTAAGCCTAAATATTTATGCTCAGTCCTTTTACCTGAACAGTCAGATCTATATAATTGTGTTTATGCTTCAGACTGCAATTGACAATTTATCCAAGAATCCTATATAGTATTTGGATTAAGGCGCCATGCTTTGAGATGAATTGTCATAGCAATCTCCTTGCCTTCTTTCCCATTTCCTAAACTACTAACTGATTTTTTAAAAAACTTGACTGTTTTACAATGTTTTCAGTACTGCGCTAGTATAGTCTTTTCTAAAGTCTTGCTCATTCACACAGTGAACATGAGATTGTATAGAGTGCTAATAGAATATATTTTCCTAACAGCTTTTTTGCAGGTTAGAATTTACCTAAACTACAGATGATTATGCATATTGCCAGAGGCTAAATAAGAGATCACTGAAATTTGGCAGTTTTAATGTCACAAAAGTGATTATGTTTCAAAATAGTAATGATGCAAAAATGCAGTGTTTAGTTTTCTTCAGAATTACTGTATGTCTTTGGGATAGTTTTAAAAAATAGAAAAGAAAATAATTTGATATGAAAGTAGAAATTAAAAATAGAAATAGTATTTTTCCCACGGGAGGACATGCAGTTATTCCAAATGAGGCATGTAATGTTTACAAAGTAAGTCCTGCCTTAAAAGTGTTTCAACAAGACTTTGTTGCTTTTCATATTTGAGAATGATTATATATTTAAAATTATGCATTTAAAATTTTCAAAGCAAAAAGTAAAGACAAACAGTATCTTAATTCTGTTTCTCTTTTTCTTCTTTCTTCCACTCCATACTTTTCATTATGTATTCCTCATGCCTTTTTAAACAATATTTTGATCTTTTATTCATCCATGTTCCACTTATATTTCCATGGGAAACTGTTTTGTGCACTGTCTGTACCTGGACACTGCACACAGCTCACCCTTTCTTTTTTCAATCAGGATGGCGGCCTAGTGGAAGAGCCCACTACTTCACCATTTTTGCCTTCACCAAGCCTGAAGCTCCCCCTTTCAAACAGTGCACTCCCTAATCAGACCCTGGGTGGGATTGCCTCAGGGCTGGGCATGCAAAACTTGAATTCTTCTAGACAGGTAAGGTACCTTTTCAGTGACAACTGTGTGAAAGTCGGTTGCTGTGTTAGTAAAAGGAATATGTTTTTTCCTATTTCAATATCCTTTTTTCATATGTAAGTAATAAATGAGTCTAAATCAAAACATAATTTGCCATCTAGACCTTCTTCAAAGGGAAATCATTACTATAGGAGATAAACAAAGGCCTTTTAGCTAAATATTATGCCTTTGCTTTTCTGCTGCTGCTTTTCTCCACAACTCTGCTTCTATTTCTTTTCTTCCCTGCTGCTTTTCCACAGCATACCTGGATAGTGTTACCCTTTTCTGTGATCTTGAGTGACAACAGAAATCATACTTCTCCCAACTTGTAATCCTCCTCTTCTTAGGTTTCTTCTTTTCTCCTCCTCAAGCAATTATCATTTACTGTGTTGAGGTTATTCTGACCCCCAAGCAAGCTTTCGACTGCAGTATTTGGTTACTAGTTGGGATTAAACCATTTTCTATTTTCATTTCACTCAGTCAGTAGAGTTGGTGTTACTGCCAATCCTGAGTAAGAAATCAGTTCTTAGCACCAGAGAAATTGAATATTTCTACTCACGCTATTGTTTATGGGGTCTTCAGCTTTGTTAGGCAAGTGGGCACCTTTGGAATTTTGAGAATGCATTACAAGTACTTTCAGAAATCATAAATATATTTTCAGTTCTTGGGAAACATTCTGTCTTCTGCTCCTTTGAATTTATGTCCTTCCCTATCTTTGAGGTAAAAAAAAATCCAGAAAAAATCGTTCAAGATCTCCTCTACAAGGCAGAGATGGAATGGAATTCCCAATGTCAATTACATTATACTTTCCTGAAAAACAAATACCACTTTGCCAGAATGCCAACTGTTGATTTTAAAGAGGCATGCATACATGAGCACATGTAAACATACGTATTCTTAGTCTTCCCTGTTCATTTTCCACTGCACCACCTCCATACCTATAGGATGATCTCTGTGAAGTCCTCCTACCGCCTACTTTTTTCCTGCATATCAACCAGTTATTTTTTTAAATGTCCCAGTATCTGATGTTTTGCTCTGCAGCATGCCTGTTTCCTATTTATTTATTTGCTTTTTGTTCTATTTGAAAAATATTTTAAGACTACTTGAGGAAGAAAAAAAGAACGACCCTAGCATTATGCCCAGTAAGGTTCTGCAGGTACTACAATAGGCATTACATTGGGATCCCCTTGCTTTCTTCATTATGCTACTTTTCATACTGATTCTTGTGCATTTAATAATCGCTAATCTATTAAATTGAGTCAGTCAAAAACTGCATAGTATATCTAGAGCAGGGTTAGGCAGTCTTTGAATCTATCATGTAATTAAGTTGCAACTCAGCATTATATAAGGCATCAAGATTGTATTGATAAAGCTATAACTCTTTTACTTTCATATACACTGTACTGAGCTGAATTATTTCCAGGCCCAATCTGCTCATTTAAAAACCCTAAAAGTATGGGAAAGCCTTTTTTTTTTTAAAAAAAGGAAACATGTTAAGGACTTTCCTTACGTTTTTATTGTTGTTTACTAACTTCCTACCCAAAAAAATGTTATGGGTGAGTACCCACAAGTATATAAATAAAGGCAATTTACAGAACAGTGAATTCTACAAGATAAGATTAAAATGTAACATAGAAAGAAAACAAGCAAAACCAACAGTTTAAAAAAATAAGCAGATCAGAAAGCAGCAGATCACTTAGGAAGTTTGCAATTTCCATTAATATTACATGTTTTTTTCCTTCTCTAACTTAGGTATCTTTTGCTAATCTTAAATATGAGACAGTTAAGAAAAAATATGTACAAGGAAGATGCCTCAGAGCATGTTCAGCTTAAGTTTCTATGTGGACCAAGTGACTGACTCTTTTGCACAGACTTAGAGTTAGTAAGGAAGAAATTTAGCCATTCATTTTAAAATACTTTGAAAAGAAAGAAAGAAAACCTGAAAATCTGTCTCATCATACCAGTGTGACAGATAGAGCCATCTCTGTTATAGTACCAGGTTTCTAAAGAACACTTAGTTGATTCTAGTTAGTAATAAAGGAAATGCAGTATCCTAGTACTATTTTCACACATTCATCGAAACTGTTATAATAAAACTAAAAACAAACAAAAGTTTTTAGAAGGAAATAACTCTATTATCTATCTATCTATCTATCAATCATCTATAGGGATTAGAATGTGGAAAACATTGGCTTCTTTGTTTATTTTACTTGTATTTCTTTAATTTACAAAAGAGAGGAACAAAAGAAAAATAGAATGACCATTAGCTTACCTGAATGGTCGCTCTCTAGGTGCTGCAAGAGTGTCCAAGCATGGGTTAGCTTCAGCTTGCTGCCCAAGGACTGAGTTCCAAGTTTGTGTAGCCACACCTCCTGCTCTCTTTAGAGGCTCAGTTTAAAAAACGAAGGTATGAGACCTAGAAGGATGCTGTAAGGAGTAAGGCCTATGCCATGGAGGTAATGATTCACACACCTGCAGGTGACCTCAGGGCGGGGTTGGGCACTCCCGCAGCGCCTAGAGAATGACCATTCAGGTAAGCCAACGGTCATTCTCCTAGGCGCTGCTTAGAGTGTCCAAGCATGGGACATACCCAAGATATGTAGTCCCAGGGTGGGAAGAAGGAGTGTTGCAGGAGCCGTGAGGACTTGCTGTAAAACTCTCCTTCCAAATAAAGCCTCTGCAGAGGCAAAGGAGTCCAGTCTGTAATTCAAAATGAATGGTGACGGCAAAGACCAGGTAGCTGCCCTGCAGATCTCTTCAATAGGCTCTTGAGTGGCCCAGGCTGCCATATTCGTGGCGCTCCTCGTGGAGTGTGCTGTTATACGAGGAGGAACAGGTCTGGATTGTTTCTTGTAAGCCAGCTTGATGCAAGCGCGCAGCCAACGTCCTATGGTGGAAGATGATACCTTCCTGCCCATGGAGGTGGGCTGGAATGATATGAAGAACAATTTTGACTTGCGAAAGGAAGCTGTCCTCTTTTTGTACACCTGCACAGCGCGGCGCACATCCAATTTATACCAGATGTGCTCCCTGGATGACTGGGGTGCAGGCAGAAATCAGGGAGCATGACCTCCTGCGTTCTGTGGAATAAGCTGTTAATTTTCGGTAGAAATGCTGGATCCAATCGCAGAATTACTCTGTCCAAATGTACAATACAAAGGTCCTCCCTAACAGAGAGTACAGCTAGCTCCAAAATTCTGTGCGCTGAAGTCATGGCTACGAGAAAGGCGGTTTTGAACGACAAATGTCATAAGCTAACAAAGCGAATTGGTTTGAATGGCACCGATGTTAAGGCCTGCAATACAACCGATAAGTCCCAAGTTGAGTAACGGTGTACCGTCAGAGGGCATAGGTTGGTAGCCCCCTTAGGAAACTGAGAACCCTTGGGTGTCTGCTGAGCAGTTGAGAATCGTCTCTGGACAAGATGGTGGCTACGGCTGCTGTCTGTCTCCGAAGGGTGTTGGGGGCAAGACCCTTGTCCAACTCCTCCTGGAGGAAGTCCAGAATTTGTGGAATTGTTGCTGCTGTGGCATCGATGTGATGGGACTGACACCAAGAGGAGAAGATAGCCCAAGTTGTGTCATAGATCCACACAGTAGAAGGTCGCCTGGATGGTATGGATGACCTTGTCAGAGAAGCTATCCCGCCTCAAAAGGTTCCCCTCAAGTGCCATACGGCTAACTGAAGCCATTGAGGATCTGGGTGTGGGGTGGCCCCTTGGCTGAGGGAGATTTGCTCCTGAATTATGCGCCAGTGCTTGGTCACTGACAAGCTGACAAGGTCGGTGAACCAGGACCTCCTTGGCTAGTGCGGGGCGACTAGCAGTACTTTGGTGCCCTCCAGCAAGATCTTCCTGATCACCTGAGGTATCAGTGGGAGGGGCGGAAATGCGTATAACAGGTTGGGAGGCCAGCGGCATCGAAGAGCTTCCGTCCCTTCCAGCTGGAGCATTGGAATCTTGAAAAGAACCAGGGGAGATGTGTGTTCTCAGGACTGGCGAACAGGTCTACCATCGGAAGTCTGAACCTCTGGGTCAGTTGGTGAAACAGAGACGGATGAAGCTGCCATTCCGAATTGCTGATGGTCATTCTGCTGAGCCAGTCCTCTACCACATTCTCCTCCCCGAAATGTGGTCCATGCTTATGGACTGGAGGTGGCGCTCTGCCCACTGCCCCAGGGCTTCTGCCTCCAACATCAGGGCATTCAATTGAGTTCCGCCCTGGTGATTGACGTAGGCCTTGATGGCGATATTGTCCGTCAGTAGCAGGACGTGAGACCCTTCGATGAACTGCCGGAAGTGGTGCAGGACTAATCTGGCGGCCCTGAGCTCCAGCCAATTTATGGTGTGGGCGAGCTCCGCCGGAGACCATCTGCCCTGCATCACATGCATCTGCAGGTGGGCACCCCAACCGTACAAGCTGGCATGTGTTGTTATGACCAGGCACTCTGGTTCCTTGAAGAGGGACCCCTTCTTCAGCACCGCTGGAGCAACCGGAGCACCGGTGGAGGAACACTCACCATCCTTTTGGAGTTGCTGGCCTTCCATCGCTGAATCAGAAGCAGGAACCACTGACGCTCCCGTGCATGCAGTCATGCCCAGCCAACCACTGCAATGCACAAGATCAACTTACCAGCAGCTGGGCTAGAGTGACGAGAGGTGCTAACCTGGACCTCCAAATATGACGCACGAGGGACGTGATTCTGTCCGCTCATTCTTGTGTGAGAAACACCTTGCAGATTCTGGAGTCAACCACCATGCCCAGATGCTGGATTCTGGAGATTGGCATCAGGTGGCTTTTCTCCAGATTGCTGGATGCCGTCTGCAGTGCCCTGAGAAATAGCGCGTGCGACCACCTCCTGCATTGCTGGGGACAACTCAGAGCCTGGATCCTGAGAGGGACGTGTGACCCCAGTTCTAGGCTCCGGAGGAGGGAGTTCCTCCTCCAACAGAGAGCAGGCCTCCTCTGTGTAATCCTCCTCCAGTGAGGAGGCAAGGGACCTGGGAGATGCCCTAGAAGGATTGAGCGAAAAACCGAAATCCCCTTCTTCTGCCAGGGATGGTGATCTATC